TCAACAAGAGATTGGTTAGGCCGCAACAAGCCACGCAGATAGGCCCACCTCCTAACTCGGGAAAGGAAGGATCTAGCGGGTCCTCAGGTTCCCCAGACGCCGAGCACCAATCTGCTCTGATCAACAAGAAGTGGAGCCGACCAGATGATAGGGTCGAAGTGACTGACGGAGGTGCGGGTGCCCGGGCCTTCGAGCTGCCACCCTTCTCCGTGGAGAAGGATTTCTTCGAGGGGTTTCCCTTATCCGTATCCGATAATGAGGCCGACATCATCAGGCGGCTTGACAAGGAAGGTCAGAGGAAGCACCTCGCTGCCAGTATGGTCGGGGTGGTAAAAATGGCCGAGATGGCGGTTGTCCTTGCGGGGGAAGGAACGAACTCCATGGACTGGGTCAGAGAGCTGGAGTCAGAGAAGGTGACTCTCGTGGCCAAGTCCCGCAAACTGAAGGCTGCCCTCGAACGCTCCAAGGAGATGTTTCGCGAGCAGTCTGACGTGTTGACCGGGGAGAAGGAAAGGGCCGATAGGGCTCTCGAGGAAAGAGATTGTCTTCAGCTAGATAAGGAACGGTTGGAGAGCGACAATCAACGACTGTCGAGAGAGGTCGAGGACCTGAAAGTCGTTATGCTGCCCGCTGAGGATGAACCAGAGAGGATGGTTGATTGCGTACGCGCTCTAATTTTATTGCTCGCATTCAACTCCTAGAGTCGGACTGTGTTAGCGCTTTGGACGATGGGTTTGAGGCCGCGGTGAGTCAGTTGTCCGTGCTAAATCCGAGTTTGAACATTGTCGGGGCTGGAGTTCTATCCCAGACCGTCGATGGCCGGGTTGTGCCTCCCCCTGATTCTCCTGAAGTCGACGTCAGCACTCTGGGGACTGATTAATACTTTATTGGTGTTTGGGTCTGCGCGCCCGTTTATTGTTTTTTTTGGGCATGCGTGCTCGTATTTGTTTTTGGGGCTTGCGTGCCTGTATTATTCTTTAGTTTTTTGGCCGTCGTGCCTAGACTGTAACTTCGGATATCGCCGGCCCTTGTGGTCGGTATACTATTAATCTTTGTTTATGATTGCCTGTTCGATGGATGCTTTGTTTGCAATTACCCGATAGTATTTTAGGTATATGCGAGATTGTTATTTTGATAATGAATTCTTTGGCGAAGTTCGTATTCTAGTGGAGATATCCGTTCAACCCCTGTGACAGTTCGACGTACTTCGAAATGTGCCGAATACGCAGAGTGGAATCCGCGTGTCGGGCGTATGACCGCGATTGGGGTCCTATGCCCGTGGTGTGAACTGCCCATCGCGAGTTGGGTGTTCTGCCATGTGGGGTACTTTGATAGTGGAGCTCGATCGAGGTGTCCCTGTCGGGCATGTTCGTTCGGTTCATCGGAGTGAACGACAGTATGCTCTTGTTGGTTGGTAGGTCGGGTCCGTACCTTGACTCGCCTAAGGCGGAATAGGAACCACTATGGGTGTGATCCAACTAGACCTCAAAGTAGGATCCATCCTTCGACCAACTATGTTTATGGTCATATCGGCCAAACCAAATTATAATCTTTTGTTGGGCCGAGAATGGATACATGGTGTTGGAGCAGTACCATCATCAATGCACCAAAGGTTAATACTATGGCGTCCTGATGGAATTGTCGAAAATATAGAAGCGGATCAGAGCTATTACTTGGGCTAAGTAAATCACCTGGGGAGAGATGACTTCGACAAAAATTTGGCTCACATTGGGCCATGCCCAACACCTGACTTCGACATGGCGCCAGCGCCAAATGCTTTTTGTTCCTTGTACCTGCACCCTGAGCATGGTTTTCAATGGGACAGAGAAGACTTGTCCCACATTGATTTCAGTGGGCTAACTGACATCCAGCCAACTGGTTGGGGAAGTGAATTCAGTGATAATGACTGAGTCACAATCACTGCAGCGAATTTCGGCTTATGTAGCCAAAACAAGGATGATAACGGCTCTCGAAGCCGAAGTAAAATATATGGCCACTCAGGCCAACGATCAAGAGCTATCTTCTGCAGGTCCTGGAAAAGATTTCGACCCATAACCTCCTGATATCATGACAGAAGGAATGCAGGAGCAAAGGCTCGACGCCATCTATGACGATGAGCCTTTGGGATTCGAAAAGGACCCCCTGGCGAACAACATCAAAATGTTAGCACAAGATCCTTTAGAAGAAATCAACTTGGGCGAAGGGTTAGAGAAAAAGCCAACTTACGTCAGTGCCAAAATAGACCCAGAGCTCAGGTTTGAAGTGATCCAATTGTTAAAGGAGTTCAAGGACTGCTTTGCATGGGATTACAACGAGATGCCTGGTCTCGACAGAGGATTGGTAGAACTTCAGTTGCCAATCAAACCTGGGAAGAAGCCAGTCAAGCAAAGTCCAAGACGCTTCGCTCCAGAAATACTGTCGAAGATCAAAATAGAAGTCGAAAGACTGCTGAAGTGCAAATTCATACGAGCTACGAGGAAGAACCATATAGACCACCTTCGACAATCATTTGAAAGAATGAGAGAACATGGTCTGAAAATGAACCCTTTGAAGTGTGCGTTCTGTGTAAAAGCTGGAGATTTCTTGGGCTTCATCGTCCACAAGAAAGGAATCGAAATCAACCAGAACAAGACGAAGGCAATCTTGGAAGCGAAAGCGCCAACGAACAAGAAGGAACTGCAATCTCTGTTGGGCAAGATAAATTTCTTAAGGAGATTCATATCTAACCTAAGTGGAAAAGCTCAAGCCTTCTCACCCTTACTTCGATTGAATAAGGAAAGATTCGAGTGGGGGCAAGAGCAACAAGAAGCCTTCAACAAGATCAAAGGGTATCTCACCAAGCCACCTATTTTGGTGCTTCCTTGCAGCAACAAGAGTATGAGATTGTACATAGCTGCATTCGACAGAACTTTGGGAAGCATGTTAGCCCAAGAAGATGAAAATGGAGTCGAAAGACCCATTTACTATCTTAGCAGAGTTTTGAACGATGCAGAAACTAGATATAGCGAAGTTGAAAAATTATGTCTATGTCTTTATTTCTCTTGTACAAAGCTCAAACAATATATAAAACCAGTTGATGTGGCATCCATAATGAGTTATGTGGCATCCACAAACTCATGATCAAGATAACTTTCATCAGAATTTTCTTCTTCTTCAACCACTTTATCTATAATTGCAAAATTATTGTGCAAAAAATAGGAGATTTGGCCATTCCACTATCTTCAGGGGCATCATTAAAACAATCCTTTTTACCCTTTCCAAGGATGACAACAACAAATATTAAACCAGGATCAACTAGCTTGTTCTTTTCTAGATTAATGGTAGGATTCTTGACACCAGGTTCATAAGACTTGATAACAAAACTGTCATTTGGAATGTTTCCATTTCGGACCTAAACATAGTTCTTGGTTTTATTTTTAGGAAAAGTAGTACCTTTTGGTTTGGAGTTAGGATGCAATTATTTTACAAGAATCTAAGTCATGACCAAGCATGGAACAAAAAAAGGGAGTCTTTTCATACTCAATGTCGATAAAAAAATGCATTGCCTTTGTTTTCAACCAGGACATTGTAAGTTAAGGATGAAGAAAGATCCATATCAACCAAGACACAAACAAAATGACCAAAGGCCCTGTTAAATATAGGTTTAACAACAAAATCACCAGTGCATATTGGAGTACCAACACTTGTTGCAATATCAAAAAGAATGTTGGGCCTTCAATATTCTTGAGCTAGACCAAAAAGCCTAATCTAAACCTGAGCAATTGTGATTTTTTGAGAACTAGGGTTGAAACCTCTAGACCAAGGGAAGAGTTTCAGGGTACCTAGATTGAGATCCCACGAAGCTGTAGACCTAACACGCTTTACATCCTCAAGCGATGGAAAAGAGAATTCATAAAATCCTTTGTCTAGAGAGGTAATGCCCCGACGACCAATGCTTGACCAAAGAGGAGACAACCTGTTCTTCAAGGCAACTATAGTCAACAAAGTTGACCCTTTAGGCCATAGAACACGCCCATGAAGGTTGTGTTTACAAGATTATGTTCTAGCAAGGTATTAGTCCTCCAGGATTATTATTGAGATTTTGTCTCCCTTCAAACAAAGCTGAGAAAGCTGATAATTCGAAATGTGACAAACGTTGTTGTTCACGTTAACCGCTTGAGTAAACATTTTCGCTGGAGGAGCACATGGTTCCACCTGTTTGGTGACTAAAGGAGGAGAAGAATCCAGACATGACCAAGAAATATGGAAGCTTTCTATGACGGAAAGACCGTCAGAGTCGATAACATCTATGACCTAGCTTAGCCGGAGTTGAACAATGAACAATCGTCAGAGCAACCAATATATATATATATATATATATATATATATATATATATATATATATATATATATATATATATATATATATATATATATATATATATATATGTTAGAATTAAAATTCAAATAATATAATCGTGATAAAAAATTCAAGTTATAAATGTTGGAATTAAATTTCAAATAATATAAATGTAAAACAAGATATTAAAAAAATAAAATCAAAATATTTGAATATTCGTATTATAAAATCTAAATTTTATAGAATATATTCAGATATTGAAAGTTTTTGAGGTAAGTTTATTTTAATTTTAAAAATATATTTTGTCTATATTAAAATATTAAAAAATTTTAATCTTATTTTCATAAATTGAAAAAGTAATTTTAACATCTCATTTTTAATAGCAGTTGTTTTTCCATTAAAGCAAATACTAATTTAATATAAATATTCATTATTTATCGTTAAAATATAATCAAAATCACACATTTAAAAAAAAGAGGTATTTCAAAAATAAACCCCAAGTTAATCACTGCATATTGTTGCACTTGAAGTCGCTCCCACTCCACCTACATCTCCCACGGTTATTTTTTGACTCTTTACATCTCCCACGGTTTTTCTTCCACATATTTTTCTTTCTCATCAAAGATTCAACCAAAACCCTCGAAATCGAACCCTTCCACCAATGTCCACCGCCGATTCCATTCCCAATCACAAACTCTCCGGTTTCCTCTCAACCGTCCTCACACTCCCTCCTCCGCATACTTTCAACGACGCGCGTTTCAACGACCGCTGCGAGATCTTCAACGACGGAACCTCCATCGGATTTTGTACTCAAAACGGCGTCGTTTTAGTCCCTATCGCTGATTCAGAAGAATGCAAGAGCGCGAAGAGGAAGAAGATTGGTGCGGTGAATGGGAGCTTCAGCGTTGTGAATCAGATTTATGCGTTGCTTGTTCGGAAGTGTTTGGATATTGATGCTCGGGTTTTGTGTGTTGTGGAGGTTTTGGATAGGGTTAGGGTTGTGGTTCTTGTGGATGTTTATCTTCCGGTTCAGGTCTCGTGTGGATGGCAGTTTCCGAAATCTGGTTCGGTTGCCGGCGCGGTTTTTCGGCATTTGAGGTTCGCTTTTGTTGACGAATTGATTTGATTTGCTTAAGGTTTTACTTTCTTCTTGGAATTCTATAATGTTGTGTTTATTTTAAAGAAATTGTTTTGTACTAATGTGATTTACTTATATAACTTACCAAGATTGCAAATTGGCATCATGATTTCTTGTTAGGAGAGAGAGACATTTGAGAAAATTTATAATAAAAATATAGTTATATGAGTTACACTAACAGAATGAAGCACGGACTTTTAGGAGTAGGCGTGTTGTGGTGTCCGATACTTGTAAGATGGATAAGTGAATTTCAAATATTATCATATACGTAGAGGTGGGCAGTGTCCTATGTTTTTGACGTTATCTGTGTCGGAGTGTCTATGTTGGAGTCTGGGTGTCATAGCTAGCAATAAGCTTTATAATAAGTAATTCAGAATACAAGCCTATTTCATTTAGGAGCAGTGTTGTCAATCTCATAACTAAGAAGATAAGATAACAATCCCAGTTCTAAGAAAATATAACTGTTAATTTAAACTCTGCTACGCAACAACGCTATAGTGCCACTATAATTGTTATATGATAACTTTTTATACTAAATAGCCTAATGTGGAACAACAATGATTTGTTCAGATTCTGCTAGGGTAGCGCCGCTATTGTTGCTTTTTAACAACATTATTTACGGGTCTATCGAATAATAAATATATGTGCGGTTACTTGATTTAGTGACAGCTATTTGATTTTCAACCAATAGGAGATAGCGTATTGTTAGTATTCCTCTAGTCACATAGTTCCCTTATTAAATTTACTAGTTGAAAGAACGTGACTCAGATATTGTGTGCCATGTCGGCTTGGCTAATCACTGCTTTCCACTCTAATTGTGAAGTTCTTAGCCAGAGGACACTGATGATTGAATCAGAAAATGGAAAATATTTATTGAGAAGTACATTTTTAATAATATGTTTGATAACTTAAAGTCTGTACTTTTCACAGAATGCTCATTTTGATTTTTATTCTTTGTTCTTGTGGAAGGAAGTCTTTCACATTTACTCCCCCTAAGGATTAATAACTCTTTATTTATTGGCGTGCTTGTTTTTTCCCCACATTGTCTGGTTTTAATGGTCAAAGCATGTGACTTAGAATGAATCATATAAATTGATTTAACTAAAAGATAATCTGTCGACCAGGATAAAGTGCAAACAGACACTGATATATAATATATTTACCATATTCTTGTAACTCTTAATCTGAAACGTAAAAGCTTTAATCAATGCTTAAAGATTATACGTTGACAAAGCTTTAGAAGGAAGTTAAAAATATACTTTCTTAAGAAAGTCCCCCTGTTCTTAATTTATAATTCAATCAAACTTGATTCCTCCTCTAACTTGGTCATGCTATAATGGTGTTCTAGCTAGTCGCCGACCAATAGTATTTTCAAAAGTGTGTTGTTTTGTAATAATATATAAATTGACTGATCTCCCGTGTCATTTTCCTTTGTGAATATACTTTATAGCTTTGACCGTCATAGTTGTCTAACAGTTAAGAGCCTATGCAGGTGTGATTGGGATGAGAGAAGATCAATGCTTTCTGATCCAGACTACTTTAGGAAGACTTGTGGAGAAAATGAGAGCATTTGGAACCTTTCTGTTTGCCATGTACTTGGTTGCAAGCTCCATTCCCCTGTGAGAGATTCTTCAAGGGAAACGCTATTTGAACTTCATGAAATTTTTAAGACAGTACCTTCACCTTGTATAGGAAAACAGCAACAGATTAATATTTCCAAGATAATACCTATGGACAACACTTGCAAATCTGGGATTTGGGAGATCTCTGATGATATTTTAATTAAAATTATATCTTCCCTGGGCCCACAGGACCTCACTAGGGTTTCTGTAACATGTAGTCATCTAAGATCCTTGGCTGCTTCAATAATGCCTTGTACAAAGTTAAATCTGTTTCCCCATCAGCAGGCAGCAGTTGAGTGGATGTTGCACCGTGAGCGAAATGCTGAACTTTTGCTACATCCTTTATATGTAGCTCTGTCAACTGACGATGGCTTTAGTTTTCATGTAAATACTGTATCTGGTGATATAGTCATTGGGGAAGCTCCTACCATCAAAGATTTCCGCGGAGGAATGTTTTGTGACGAGCCTGGCTTGGGTAAGACTGTAACAACTCTTTCTCTTATCACAAAGACACAGGGTACGTTGGCGGATCCACCAGATGGGTCACAAGTAGTCTGGTGTCAACATAGCTCTACCCAAAAATGTGGCTATTATGAGATCGGTGGTAATAACATCACTAGTTGTACTATCTTGGGTAAGAGGAATTTGTGCCAAAATACAGGTAAAAATAATGAGAACCATGGTTCCTCCTTCAAAAGAGCTAACTTGTTAAATCCTTGTCAGGAAATCACCAAATCTCGTGATTCATGTTCTGTAGGTGAAAACAAATCACCTGTAGGTGTCTGCTTTGAGGAATATACTCCTGCTAGTCGAGGCACTAGAAGTTTCAGCCGAGTAAAGAAAAATCTACATTTCACATATGACGAGGAAGCTATGATTTCCAAAGAAAGAAGAGTTGGTAAAGGATCAATTAAAACAAAACATGCATCAGATGTTGCATCCCATATGTCTCAAAACAAGCTTGTTGATACTTCAAATGTTAGCGGGCAGAGTTACAAGTGGCACGGGAAGCGTAAAGCTGATTGTTTGGAATATAATGATAATTGGATTCAATGTGATGCTTGTCACAAATGGCGAAAACTTGCAGACAATAGTTTGGATAATTCTAGTGCAGCATGGTTTTGTAGTATGAACACCGACCCTTCATATCAGAGTTGTAGCGTCCCAGAGCAGTATATTCAGAATAGCTGTGAGATAACTTACTTGCGAGGATTTCATTTGAAAGGAACTCCTGGAGGTGAGAAACAAAACATATCATTTTTCACCAGCGTGCTTAAGGAACACTGCTCATTGGTAAATTCTCAGACAAAGAAGGCCCTGATTTGGTTGACCAAAATTTCGATGGACAAGCTTGCAGTAATGGAAACAAGTGGTATACGGGGTCCTATTTTATACAATTGCACTTTGTCTAATGGGACTTTGAATCCATACCACAAAATATTTAAAGCATTTGGCCTCATAAAGAGAGTAGAGAAAGGTGTATGCAGGTGGTTCTACCCAAAAAATCTTAGCAATTTGACTTTTGATGTGGCTGCCCTTGGCATGGCTCTATGTGAGCCATTAGATTTGGTTAGGTTATATTTGTCAAGAGCAACCTTGGTAGTTGTTCCTGCAAACCTGGTCGATCATTGGAAAGCTCAAATAGAAAAGCATGTTAGTCCTGGTCAATTGCAGGTTTATGTTTGGAAAGATCATCAGAAACCATCTGCACACTCTCTTGCCTGGGATTATGATGTTGTCATCACTACATTTAGTCGTTTGAGTGCAGAATGGGGGCCACGTAAGAGGAGTGCTCTAATGCAAGTGCATTGGTTTAGGATAATTTTAGATGAAGGGCATACTCTTGGCTCAAGTCTGAGCGTAACAAACAAGTTGCAAATGGCTATTTCACTGGTTGCTTCAAATCGATGGATACTAACTGGAACTCCAACACCTAACACTCCTAACAGCCAACTTACACATCTACAACCATTGCTAAGGTTCCTTCATGAAGAGGCTTATGGGCTGAATCAAAAGTCATGGGATGCCGGCGTGCTTAGGCCGTTTGAGGCAGAGATGGAAGAAGGCCGGTCTCGTCTGTTGCATTTACTTCAGAAATGCCTTATTAGTGCTAGAAAGGTAGATTTACAAAGTATTCCACCATGCATCAAGAATGTTGTTTTACTAGATTTTAACGAGGAACACGCTAGAAGTTACAATGAATTGGTACTCACTGTTCGGCGTAATATATTGATGGCTGATTGGAATGACCCTTCACATGTGGAGAGTCTACTGAATCCAAAGCAGTGGAAATTTCGAAGTGAAACTTTAAAAAACGTTAGGCTTTCATGCTGTGTTGCTGGACATATTAAAGTTACACATGCTGGAGAAGATATTCAGGAAGCAATGGATCTGTTAGTACAAAATGGTTTAGATTCTACTTCAGGGGAGTATACCTCCATAAGATACAGTCTTCTGTTTGGTGGTCACTGTGTCAGGTAATACTTGGATTTTATATTTCTGTTCTTTAATTTTCTTCAGGTCATAGTCGCTTATTGTCATCATCATAATTTATTACCAATATTTAATGAATTGTGTAGGTGCAAGGAATGGTGCCGCCTTCCTCTCATTACTCCATGTCGACATCTGTTGTGCCTTGGTTGTGTTTCCTTAGATAAGACAAAATGTACATATCCTGGCTGTGATAACTTATATGAGATGCAGAGTCCTGATACAATGGCGAGGCCAGAAAACCCTAACCCAAAGTGGTCTGTACCCAAAGATCTTATTGAGTTACAACCTTCATATAAGCAGGCATGTTTTCTGATTGAGGAATCAGTTGGCATTCAGTTGTTTTTTTTTGGTTATTATTTAGAAGTTTTCATTGTGCTAAACATGTGCTGTTGGTTGTTGAATGAACAGGATACGTGGGATCCTGATTGGCAATCGACTTCTAGTAGTAAAGTTGCATATCTTGTTCAGAGGTTGAAAGCTTTGCAAAGAACTAATGAAGAAACGAGTTCATATATGGACAGTAGCAATAATGCGATGCATATTGAGAATAGTTTTCCTTTGCACACAAGACATGCTGAATCATCATTCCAGGAATGTTCTACAAGTAGGACTGGCACCAACGGGGTCCCTGAAAAAGTCTTGATATTTTCTCAGTTTCTTGAGCATATACATGTCATTGAACAGCAGGTGCTTTTTGTGTAGTACCGAGTGTGACCATTTGCAAATGTACAATATTTTATCCTGTTGCAAACGAACGATTAAACTTTTAACTTAAATTTCTATTTTTCCAGTTGTCTGTTAATGGTATCAAATATACTGGAATGTACAACCCAATGCATTCTAGCCACAAGGTATAAAGTTAGAATTCTCATGTTCTTTATTTGCATTTTCTGAAAATATAAATGTACCAGAAGTCATTAGCCATGTTCCAGCATGATTCAAGTTGTATGCACTTCTGATCTTTGGTTAATTCACTTTTGTCTTAAACAGAAAAAGTCATTAGCCATGTTCCAGCATGATTCAAGTTGTATGGCACTTCTGATGGATGGGAGTGCTGCATTGGGTCTTGACTTGAGTTTTGTTACACATGTATTTTTAATGGAGCCAATTTGGGACAGAAGGTTAGTACATTAAACCGATTCATGTTTTTCCCAATTTGGCGAATGCTCCTACTCTGACTAAAACTTTCACTCTTGTCCAATTTGATTTTCTTCTAACTTGAGTAAAACCTTGTCAGTATGGAGGAGCAAGTAATTAGTCGTGCCCATCGTATGGGTGCTTCTCGTCCTATTCACGTGGAAACATTAGCAATGCGTGGTACAATTGAAGAGCAAATGCTAGAATTTTTACAGGTGAATCTCTATTACTTGAACTTCATAACATCATCCTAATTTAGTTTAACATGTACTGCTTAGTTTCTTGGATAGCTTGTTATTTGGTAACTTTCCTAATTATACATGCTTCTATTTCTTGATGTTCAACTAGGATGCTGATAAATGTAGAAGACTAAATAATAAAGATGTCAAATCTGAAGATGGCGGAGGACGGGGATATCGATCAGTGCATGATTTTGCCGAAAGCAATTATCTACTGGAACTCAAATTTGTATAAACTAGTTCAGAAACTCCAGAGGGTTCTACGTGGTAGTTTTTTTCCCATTGATATTTTTTCTAGGAAATATAAATTGGTAGGGGATGAGTTTTTATCTAATATAATTTTCCCAGGAAACATAGATTCGCAAGATAAGTCATGTTGCATTCGGGGAAAATGCTGATGATTTTTATTGACAATTCTTTGGAACTGTTTATTTGGAAGTGACGAAGATGGTGGCATTTTACTACTTCGATTTCTGTTTTTTGAGTTTTGTACACTTTTTAAAATAGTGATTAATTATGTTGCAACGATAAATTGAATTTTATTTACTAAAATATCATAATTAACTGTAGTTAGAGTAATTAATAATAGTATAGTAGTTTAGTAGAAGATGGGAAAGAGGGGGCCAATGTCCGCTGCTATTTATTGGAATTGGGAATAATCGAGCGCTGGAGTATTTGTTATAACTTGTTTAGTGGTAAATAAACTTTATAGGGGGAGTAATATCTAAAATAATAAAGTCTTTCGTTTCGACTAGTATCTAGTTTCATTTTCTTTCATCTCTTTTACACATCATTTCTAGGTAATTATTCTCTGTTTTTATGGTACACGTGCTTTTCTTTATTTTTTTAATTTACTTTCTTGTTTCTTATTTCTTTAACATTTTTTTTACTTTTTTTCTCTTCTTTTCCTTTTTTTTCTTCTCCTTTTCTTCTCTTTCCTTGAAGATATTGATTTTTGAAGAATTGAACAAGTTAAAAATATGTCTCACTATCTAAATTTGAGAATAACAATTTTTTTAATCTTTTACTGTTTTTTTATTATAGGACCGTGTTGCCATTTTCATAGATATTAAAAGAAATAATTAACTTATGAGTAAATTTTACAAAATTGAAAAGAGAAAATAATAAAATTTTAAAATAATAATAATAATAATAATAATAATAATAATAATAATAATAATAATAATAATAATAATAATAATAATAATAATAATAATAATAATAATAATAATAAAAATATTGAGTAATTAATATTATAAAACAATTTATTACTTGATATCATTTTCAATTAAACTGTCAACCACCACAACAGCTAAGTCCTATTTCATTTCATTAAGTGAGGTTGATTGTATAAATCAAATTACACCATAATATTTTATAGATTTATTTCTATTTAATTATTTAATCTCAAATTTTTTCTTAATAATATTTATATAAATATTTTTCTTTCAATTATATATATTTTTAAAGGTCTTTCCACCAGAAAGTTAGAGAATTTTTGTCTCTACTAAGTGTATCTTTGTCCCACTGCTAATTGTTTGAATCCTCTTCATTTGATATGTGTTAGGCGACGACAACCGTATTTAAAGGGGTGAATAGATATCTCTTTTAAAATTATCCAAGAAAAATTTTGGTTTTTGAAAAAGTTGTTTTATTAAAAAGTACCGCATAAGTTTTTTCAAAATGTCGTCTTTACGAACGTTATTGAAAATTCAGATATGCAAACTAAAAACAAATTCAATATGGAATAAGAATACCACTTAAATTAATATGTCTGAATCACTTTACAACTTATTTAACATTTATTGCAAGTTATTAGTAAAACTATTTCCAATGACAATATTAAAAAGAACTAGTTGAATCAATTTGTCAAACATTTGGTGCGTAAATGAATTTTCAGAATTTTTTTTTTGAGTTGTGTTGATACACAACCATTTATAATCAAAAGTGATTATAAGCTATATCAACACTTAATTTAAAATCAAAAACAGTTTGAAAAATTTCTTACAATTCAATTGATAACGCAATGCTATTTGACAAATTGATTGATGAAAATTAAAGCAAGTAAAAACAAAAATAAAAGAGACACAAGGAATTTGTCTTCACAGTTCTCCACTATTGTCCTCGCGTGTGGGTATGTCTGTGCCTAATTCCAATGAAATTAGGATAATTCTTACTATGCAAAAAGTTGATACAAGAGAAGTGTTCAAGAGCAACTCCACAAACCCTAATGCTTGTTATTGATTCAACCCCTTCTCTTCTTTTGATCTTGATAAAGACCAATATACAATAGATACAAATTGACTATTTGAATCTTGCTACTCATTTGCATTCTTTATCTCCAAAGCTTTCGCGCACCGTCAATTTCAAACTATTGCAACACAAGACTTCAATTGTAATCCCCCGGTCTCTCGCTACTTCCTTTGTATTCTTTATCTCCAAAGGATCCCTTGCGTTTTTATCTTCAAAGGACTTCGCTTGGCCGCAATTACCTCTTAAACGTCTTCCACGAAAATTCCTAAATCAACCAATGGTTACTTATTTGGTTACTCGCAGGATCGATCAGATTTGGTAAACAACCGCTGATCCTCCAAATGGTTACTTATTTGGTTACTCGCAGGATCGATCAGATTGATCCTAGGACATAGGTTGATTTTGAAGTTTTGATTAAATTGGATAAGGCTTTAAATAAAGAGGCTTTAAATGAAATAAAGAGATTTCAAGTAAATTGCATGAAGAAAGGACTTGGTAAAATAAACAAGGCTTAAAGTAAAAGGGTTCGACAGGAATGTAAAGAGGAAAGCAAGTAAATTTCTGGAAAAGTAAATGACTTTGATTAATAAAATTGGTGTTTCACACATACATTTCTCAACAATTCTTTCTCACACGCTGGGTACTCGAATCTATATGAGTGACTTTGTATAGAATTGTGAACACACGCGAGAAACTACATGACTACTATTATTTATACTAAAACATCCCAAGTAACCGTCGGGCAGTTACACTGCTTCGAGATCAATCCACTTGGCACGTTCTCCACGTTCGACGCTCCAGATCCTTGCACGTTTGCACGTGGTAACTGCTGGAAACCGTTTTCCCTCCAAAAGCTTGAATTTCAAACTGTTCCACTCTGAACCATCGAACACTTTCGTCGAGAGACATCTTCGACGAGAAACTCCTTCGACATCGAAGGCAACCAACTTCCCCCTTGGAAGAAATCTTCTAAGTACTTTGCCATCTTTCGACGGGCATTTCGACAGACTTAGCCAGTCGAAAACATCCTTCAGCTTTAATGGCTGACATTAACAAAACAAAGGTGTCGAATTTAGGAGCCAACAAATTGCCCCCCAAGAATGCCTTATTTCGACTCTGAAAGAAAAAGGCATTCTTTGAAACACCATTCGACACCTGTCTTTTCACGCTTAGTCACAAATTAACTTGTGCACTTTTTGTTGTTTTCTACCAACTATTGGCAATCCCAAGAAAACCATCATTTATCCGTACCTAGGACATCACTTTCAGTACGGCGTGCAGTACCAAACGTCATTTCAGAATTTGTCATTATGACAATTCCCAAAAACGAGGACGCACGCTGCGTCCCTCTATTTCTGCAGAACGGCTAAAACAACAGGGGGCTGCCACGCGTCCCACTAACTCCTGCAATAATTAAATGGCATTTAATGTCCTCGGTTTTGGGGATTTTCCCCCACTACTATAAATAGCAGTAAGTACCCCATTGTGGGACTTTTTACGCCATCTAGCTCTCAAACTTCTCTGTTTTCATACAACTTGTTATCTTTGCAAAAACACTTCCTCTTTCACTTCGTCTTCAACCTCAACTCTAACAATGGCATCTGCTTCCAATGCTCCTGGCGCTACTGTACCATCTGAAAATGCTAAACCCAAGGTTTTCGTCACTGCTCCGGTAGTAACTTCTACAGGCAAACGAAGGGTTCCTGAACCCTTGGATATCGCTGTTCGCGATGCCTACTCGCGCCATATTATGATCCCGGTTGGATACTCCAACCAGATCTTTGCAATGTCTGGCCCCATGTATCCAAGTATCTCTGAGGCTATGAAGATCAAGAGCTATTTCCCGGTAGTCGAGAAACTCAAACCGGTTGCCTGCGCCAAGAAAGACGCAGAAGACAACGAAGACCCTGCACATGAAAAAATCGACCTCCGCTTCTTCAACAAAGGTGTTAGGGCCTTTAGGTCTGGCCCTAGCCTTACCCCTGATTACGTTGCTTGGCTAGCAAAGATGGAGAAGCACCAAACTTCGATCTGGAAGGATATGGGGATTTTTGACCTGGTGATGCTGTCGAAGACAGGTTTGAACTATTCTCCGGAGATGCTGATAGCTTCTCTGCTGTTCTGGGACTACTCCCACTTTACTTTCCATCTTCCCTGTGGGATGCTAACCCCCACACTCTTCGATGTGGCCGCTATTACCGGCCTTCGACCCACCGGGGATTACTTCGATCCGGAGGAGATGTCGGAGGATCAAATTGGCTTCTCTGAGACCAAACCAACCTATACCACCTTCATAAACCACTATCACGACAGGTCGACAGATGCTGTGTCGGACGTCGAACACATAGCGTTTCTAGCCTTATGGCTGACTCGCTTTGTATTTTGCTCGAAGTCTCTACAGGTGACCAAAAAGATGGTCACTCTTGCTACTCAACTGCATCATCGCCAAAACATCTGTTTGGCAGAACTGATTCTGGCTAGCCTCTATGATTCGATCAGCAATGGGGCAACTCTTCTAAAAATTATCGAGAACAGGGCCAGTTTGCTACTCGCTGGGCCCTTTTGGCTGCTCCAACTGTGGCTCAATGCCACTTTCGAATCTTTCTTGCCTAAGAAGGTTCAGATAAATGAGCAAGCTCCAGCGATAGCGAACAGACGCGTCGAAGGAACCAGGCTGGCTCTGTTGACACCTATGGAAGATGGACTGGAGTTTCAGCAAACCTTCACCAACTTCGTTCTAATGTTTGCTCGAAGGAAGGAGTTTGTTTCAACTATGGCTCCATTTGCTCGACGGCAGGTAGGCCCAACATGGTTCACAAGGCCACATCCAAGGACGTCGAGTGGTCCTAATGTTGACGAACATACAATACTGTGGGAGGCGTTCCTCACACCAAGGATCATGCCTCTTCGATTCAGGAGCTCCAAGACTCATTTGAGTCTGATTGCATACCAACAAAACCTGGTATCTCGCCAGTTTGGTAT